GGATTTAAAAATTCACCATAATTTTCTGTAAACAAGGCAACCACGAACAAAGACTACTAATCTATAATAACAAAAAGGTGAATGACACATTATTCCTTACACCTTTATTCTATAATACAAGCAGGGACGAACTTACATGGCTCGGTCCCCCTTTTTGTTTTTAAAGTTATTTAAATAGTTATTAAGTCTTGTCATTTTAAATTTGCAACATTAAAACCAAAGAAAGGTGGTCAGTTATTCAACAAATATTGAATAATAAACCTTGACCATATAGTTGATTAAAAAATATAATTAGGAGTATAATGCATTCATTTTTAGTTTTATCTTTTATAAATAGACTACATGTACAATTCTTATGCATTAGTAATTATATTTGAGTTTGGAACAACCTTCACATAATAGGGGATTCTTGTTTTCAAGATAAGACAAGTAGAACGTTTGAAGAAGAGTACTTGTACATAAGATTTGCATTCATAGTTAGCTAAAGTGTGAGTGGGTGATTAGGGGTATTAATTATTAGACCTATTACTCGACCGATTAAAGACTTTAACTCATATAAAGTTAAACAATGGACTAAATATTAAAGATTACAATAGAAAGTCCTTCTGAGAATGATGCATTTTGCTTCTCTTTTTCCCATTATATTATAACATCATTTCCTATTTTAGCAACACTTTTTTTTGCTGCCTAATTTTATGGTGTAATTAAAAGTGGAATGGCGTGTTAGGAAAAATTGTCATAGTGAGAGAAGACACGAAGCCAAAGAGAAAGAAAGCAATAAAAATTACTAAGAAAACATGGTGATTGAATGGCATGTGCTTAAGAATTGAAGGGTGAGCATAATATATTCGTTTGTCTAAGCTAGCAGTGATATTTTAATGACCCCAATGGCAATGCAATACAGAGCGAGACCAATAGCATATAAAGAGTACCTGGTGCCCTATCATTTCAATGTCACACTCCCCCATACAAATAGAAACAAGAATCCCCCGACAGCTAGAGAATGTGACAACCCATCTATCTAATTCATTTCTAAACCTGTACATTCAATGCAAACCAGCAATTTAATTTACTAATTACCTATATAGCCTAACATACTCTTCTTTTTTTTCTTCAAATCATAATTATGATCATACTCATTGATTCAAATATCCCCTCCCTCCTACCGATATTATCTTTATCTTTAGTAATCAATAAATCTCCAACACATATCTTCAATTTTCCCCCTCTTGGATACATCTCCGACTTTGTAAAATTAATTTACATATTCAAATTATCCACGACCGTACTTGCTTAATAGTAACTTAATGACGCTAATTTTTTTAGGTTTCCTTCTTTTCAAGCAACGCTGATGATACTGTCCCCACCGCCGCCGAACTTCCCAGCAGAAATCGCCTGAAAAGCCGATGATGACGACGACGGCGATGAGTGGTCACTACTCGCCGGTGACTGATCCTGTGACCGCGGCGTCGGCGATGGCAGATTCAACGACAACGGTAAAGGCTCTATGAGATTAGTCGGAGAAGCTTTCTCTTTCAAGTTCAAACTAGCCATCTTCGACGACGGTGGGACCGGCAAAATCGGCGTCGGCCTAATCGGCTTGGCTAGCCTCTCACTGCTCGCCGGTAAAACCACTGGAGATAGACTCATCGGAAAACCTGCGCCAGGGAAACCGCCGTAATGCGACGGCGGATATGCTGCGGGGATAGTCAGCGCCGCCGTTTCCTGCTGAACTTGTTCTTCTTCCATTATAGTAGAAGACTCCATCACCTGGAATTCCAAAATAAAAATCAATTAAACGTTAAAATTACTAATTACTCTCAAATTATTTAAGAATATTTAAATGAATCTCTAGTTTGTTTTAATCAATTAATTATTTCATTTTGGAGTTAGTTTATAACTGTTTTGAAATTGTGAATCCAGTTATTTAATTTAAAATAAATTAGAAATAAAATCTAATGACATTTAGATGGATGCCAACAGAAATTAACATCAATTTATTGTGCAAAAGAAGAAAAGGAAACTGAAAGTACCGTATCGGTAGTGATGTCAAAGAGGCTAGATCTCAGGCGGCGGCGGTTCTGGTTGTGGCGACGGAGGAAGTACTTCTGAGCGTGACTGGCGACCTGAGTTGGCGTGCGAGTTTTGACGAAGTTTCTAGAAATTCCTCTCCAATCTCCCTTTCCAACTTTGTGCAACCCTAACAGGAACAGTCTGTGCTCTTCCTCCGTCCAAGGAACACCTTTGTTCACCAATCCAAAAACTCAATCGATCAATTAATTTGTCTCTCAAACCAAACAACGCCAAAGAACATATCAGAACAATTAAAGAAATCGTTAATGATTGTTAATCGGTTAATTACTGACCTCGCTTGCGCTCGCGCGCGCGACCGGAGGCGTGAACGACGTCGTCGGAGGCGTACCCGGCGTCGGCTGTGTTGGAATCGGCGTCATATTGAGAGAGGTTGTTCATGCTAGCGCTCTTCCTGAAGGAGGAAATTCCTTCGGTGACTCGCACGCCAAACAGCATGAAGCCGCTCTCCCGGGGAGACGAGCCCCCGGAAACAGCAGCACCACCGTCGGTGCATGTCCTTGAGTTGTGGCCGTTGTTCCCGCACTGTGAGCACGTGCGAGACATCTCAACAGTCCATGCAATAAATATGGCTATATGAATATGATATGTGTGTGGAAGATTAATAGATGTGATAATATAAGGTGAAGAAATAAAAGGTTTGAAAGAAGAAAGGGTGTTGTTGGGTTTGTGTTTGTGATGGAGAGAAAGAAAGAGACATAGGGATGTTTGGGTGATATATAGAGAGTTTTGCTTTGGTAGGGTTGAAGTGTTGAAAGTGTGGTGATGGCATTGGTGTTTGTGGTAGGCGCTGCCGTACACTAAAGTTACTACTAGGGTTACTAGAATTACTTACTAATACTATGCGGTGGGAAACGAAAGAGGGGTTGTTTGGCACTAGAAATTATTATGAACGTCGATTGGTGTCGTCATGGTATTGGTGGTCATTTTTCGTTGAGGAGACAGAATCCATCAATCAGGACCGTCAAATACTGTGCCATGTTTGGCTTGCCTCGGTAAGCACGACCCAAAACGTGTGTCCTACGATCGTTTAGCATTTAATATATGTCCCATAATATTTATGGACACGCTGCAAATATGGAAAAGAAATTATCCATAAATACTCCTTTCAACACCCAGACAAAAAATAAAATAAAACACGTAATGAATTAAGTGATGCAATAAAAAAAATTAAGTTATCAAAAAATTAAAAATATTACATTAATTATTTTTAGTATTAGTGTGGTCAACAAAAAGAATATATATTTATTATATACACTTAGAGTGAAAGAGTTAAAAAACATACAAAATAAAATTATTGATGGTTAAAGTACCACTAACACGTACAAGCTAGTAGGACGGAAGCTAAATTTTATCCATTTTTATTTTTTTATATATTCTCTAACTTGCTTTACAACAATTTTACGCGTTTCGTCTTCATCAAATCTCTGCTATAAAGGAGTCATTTCATAGGTATACTATTCTTTCTATAGTATTAACGGTCAAATAGATGGTTTATTGTGTGCAGTTTAAAAAAATTAGTAATAAAAACGTGATGTATATATAATATTAACACTCTTTATTTTTCCACACTGTATATTATCCTTACAATTTCTTTTGATATTTGTAATATTTCTTCATATAAAATACAATGTTTTTATAAATAATTGAAGAATATAAAGTGTAAGAGGTGTGTCATTGTAAAAATTTTCAAAAACATTTAAATGAGTTCCGATAACAAAAACGAAAACATTAGTAGATAATATTTTTTTTAAAAAAAGCTTTAAATAACTGTTCCAAAACATTTATTAACATAACCTATTAATAAAACGCTATTCTAATAATGATGAATTGAAATTATTTTAGAATATCAACGTATAATGTCAATGTTTAATCTTTGAATGTACGAGATATAATAGACGGATGTTTAGAAAATATTTTTGTGGGTTTCAAACTAGATTTACAAATAATTAGAAAGACCAAATATATTAAAAATTTTGAAAAATATATTTATATATTATTTTATACACGTCAAAACTATATTCCTTGATCCATAAATTGTTGCATATTCAAAGTTGAATTTCACCAGAGTTAATAACCCAGTTGATGTTGAATTATTGCTTATACTTGGGAAGCACTTTTACAATTTACATTTAAGTTTAGGGACTATAGGTATTCCCATAATGGAGAAAGGAGATAAACAATTACGACACAAAAGAAAATCAAAAGACTGTACAAAGAGAAAAAAGAAGATGAACAACATAAACAAAAAGTTGCACATGAATACATTGGATTGTATTTAAAAGGAATACGATGAAAAATCTATAGATACGTGTCATCAAAAGCATATAAACGACAATAATTTTACTTATATTTATTGTTAAAAGTAGCACACGACAATGACTTTGAGAAATTCATTATAAAATATTTTTTTACTTATTTTAAAAAATGTTACTGTGTTATTTTTAACTAGGATTTCTTAATAACTATTCAAATGTAGTCTTATTTTTTAGGATATAAGTGTATCTAATTTGTATTAAATAAATAGTATTACATTCAAATTTTGTTTGCGAAAAAAAAAATTGAGTGAGCACTCCTTTAACTAAGACCTAGAAAGGAAAAGAAAATAATTATAATAAATAATATAATGGACTGAGAGATAAAAAAAAATAGTGAATTGAACATTGAAGTGGTGTATAATTTATGAAAGTCACCCAACAATCACTTCAAAATGCATGTTTTCAAGAAAGACTTTTCTAACAAGTGGACTTCTTAGATTTGTTTTCTAATGCTTTAATAATCTATAGCCTAACATACTCTTCTTTTTTTTCTTCAAATCATAATTATGATCATACTCATTGATTCAAATATCCCCTCCCTCCTACCGATTATTATCTTGTATCTTTAGTAATCAATAAATCTCCAACACATATCTTCAATTTTCCCCCTCTTGGATACATCTCCGACTTTGTAAAATTAATTTACATATTCAAATTATCCACGACCGTACTTGCTTAATAGTAACTTAATGACGCTAATTTTTTTAGGTTTCCTTCTTTTCAAGCAACGCTGATGATACTGTCCCCACCGCCGCCGAACTTCCCAGCAGAAATCGCCTGAAAAGCCGATGATGACGACGACGGCGATGAGTGGTCACTACTCGCCGGTGACTGATCCTGTGACCGCGGCGTCGGCGATGGCAGATTCAACGACAACGGTAAAGGCTCTATGAGATTAGTCGGAGAAGCTTTCTCTTTCAAGTTCAAACTAGCCATCTTCGACGACGGTGGGACCGGCAAAATCGGCGTCGGCCTAATCGGCTTGGCTAGCCTCTCACTGCTCGCCGGTAAAACCACTGGAGATAGACTCATCGGAAAACCTGCGCCAGGGAAACCGCCGTAATGCGACGGCGGATATGCTGCGGGGATAGTCAGCGCCGCCGTTTCCTGCTGAACTTGTTCTTCTTCCATTATAGTAGAAGACTCCATCACCTGGAATTCCAAAATAAAAATCAATTAAACGTTAAAATTACTAATTACTCTCAAATTATTTAAGAATATTTAAATGAATCTCTAGTTTGTTTTAATCAATTAATTATTTCATTTTGGAGTTAGTTTATAACTGTTTTGAAATTGTGAATCCAGTTATTTAATTTAAAATAAATTAGAAATAAAATCTAATGACATTTAGATGGATGCCAACAGAAATTAACATCAATTTATTGTGCAAAAGAAGAAAAGGAAACTGAAAGTACCGTATCGGTAGTGATGTCAAAGAGGCTAGATCTCCGGCGGCGGCGGTTCTGGTTGTGGCGACGGAGGAAGTACTTCTGAGCGTGACTGGCGACCTGAGTTGGCGTGCGAGTTTTGACGAAGTTTCTAGAAATTCCTCTCCAATCTCCCTTTCCAACTTTGTGCAACCCTAACAGGAACAGTCTGTGCTCTTCCTCCGTCCAAGGAACACCTTTGTTCACCAATCCAAAAACTCAATCGATCAATTAATTTGTCTCTCAAACCAAACAACGCCAAAGAACATATCAGAACAATTAAAGAAATCGTTAATGATTGTTAATCGGTTAATTACTGACCTCGCTATATATATATATATATATATATATATAAATGATTAATATATTAAACTCAAAATTAAATTATTAAGACGTGTTTTCAATTTGATATTTAGTGAAAAAGAAATATTGTTAAACTATTATTTGTTCATATTGTTAAATTAGTTTTAAAAAAATTAAAATACTGGTAACTTATATTCACATAAAAATTGTCACATTACCGAAGTTCGTTCTTATATATCTTTTTAGTATACAAATATATTTAAGCTTTTTCTTCTTAATTATATGGACACGGTGCTCAATGTAAAAGAAATGTAATAATATCCTTTTTGACTGTTTTGTTTTTGGGTTTTGTCATATTAAAAGGTAACATGAAATGCATTATGAATATTACTATTTCAGATTTGACAGAAAATGTTGACTCAAGTCCTCCACTATAAATTTGCATAAGAGAACAATTAGGAAAGAAATCTATCTTGGATAGGTAATTATAAGAGGAAAAATATATTAAAAAGTTTGTTCTTTTGTTTTTATTTTTGTTATACTCTATAAAAATATTTAATAGTAAAATAATTAAAAAAAATACAGACACATTTTTCCCCTCCTCTTTCAGTCCTCTCACCTTAACCAATATATTATTTAAATACCACTAATTTCCAATTATAACAAAAGACTATCTCAAATTAAGTGAAATGTACGGTCTGATATTTTTTTCCAAGTATATATTATCTACTTTTATTTATAATTTGTACTAAAAATATAAGTTCAATGAGTAAAATTTTCTATCATAACAAAACCTACAAATATTGATGACGAATAATGAAAGCTGAGTAGGTAAATTTTTGCTTTATAAATGCATGTGCATATGTTATAACTATCAAGAAACTAAAAAAATCTTAGTATTTGTTTGGATGAGTAATAGAAAATAAGGAATAAAAAAAGATTGTTTGTATTAAGTGAAAAAACATAAAAAAGGGAAAAAGATAAGTAAAAAAATTTCTAAATATGATTTGATTTGAAAAAATCACCCATGAGCATATTGTCTTTAGTTCAAATTTATGTTAAGTTAAACAAGAATACTTTAATTATCTCTACTGAAAAAAAAAAGATGAACTTTTAACCTAGACAAATTATTAATTATGTAGAATTGATGAGTCATGTTACAATTGTTATTGATATTAGAAACTAGGTAATCGATTAAGGGACATGTCCTCTTCCTTTCTAAACCTACTTAGTCATTTCTCTTGAAAAACAAAATTATCAACAAGTTGAAAAAAAATACCGATAATGTGATTATCCAAAATAATATATATTTACCTTGAAAAACATTTTTTTTTCTTGTGATTTCACTATTCCCTCACGTGTTCTCTTCTCTGATAAAACATGAAAAGTATTCTGTAATATATCAACATTATTTCCCTCCTTAAAATATATCAACAAGGAAGGATTTAAAAATTCACCATAATTTTCTGTAAACAAGGCAACCACGAACAAAGACTACTAATCTATAATAACAAAAAGGTGAATGACACATTATTCCTTACACCTTTATTCTATAATACAAGCAGGGACGAACTTACATGGCTCGGTCCCCCTTTTTGTTTTTATAGTTATTTAAATAGTTATTAAGTCTTGTCATTTTAAATTTGCAACATTAAAACCAAAGAAAGGTGGTCAGTTATTCAACAAATATTGAATAATAAACCTTGACCATATAGTTGATTAAAAAATATAATTAGGAGTATAATGCATTCATTTTTAGTTTTATCTTTTATAAATAGACTACATGTACAATTCTTATGCATTAGTAATTATATTTGAGTTTGGAACAACCTTCACATAATAGGGGATTCTTGTTTTCAAGATAAGACAAGTAGAACGTTTGAAGAAGAGTACTTGTACATAAGATTTGCATTCATAGTTAGCTAAAGTGTGAGTGGGTGATTAGGGGTATTAATTATTAGACCTATTACTCGACCGATTAAAGACTTTAACTCATATAAAGTTAAACAATGGACTAAATATTAAAGATTACAATAGAAAGTCCTTCTGAGAATGATGCATTTTGCTTCTCTTTTTCCCATTATATTATAACATCATTTCCTATTTTAGCAACACTTTTTTTTGCTGCCTAATTTTATGGTGTAATTAAAAGTGGAATGGCGTGTTAGGAAAAATTGTCATAGTGAGAGAAGACACGAAGCCAAAGAGAAAGAAAGCAATAAAAATTACTAAGAAAACATGGTGATTGAATGGCATGTGCTTAAGAATTGAAGGGTGAGCATAATATATTCGTTTGTCTAAGCTAGCAGTGATATTTTAATGACCCCAATGGCAATGCAATACAGAGCGAGACCAATAGCTTATAAAGAGTACCTGGTGCCCTATCATTTCAATGTCACACTCCCCCATACAAATAGAAACAAGAATCCCCCGACAGCTAGAGAATGTGACAACCCATCTATCTAATTCATTTCTAAACCTGTACATTCAATGCAAACCAGCAATTTAATTTACTAATTACCTATATAGCCTAACATACTCTTCTTTTTTTTCTTCAAATCATAATTATGATCATACTCATTGATTCAAATATCCCCTCCCTCCTACCGATATTATCTTTATCTTTAGTAATCAATAAATCTCCAACACATATCTTCAATTTTCCCCCTCTTGGATACATCTCCGACTTTGTAAAATTAATTTACATATTCAAATTATCCACGACCGTACTTGCTTAATAGTAACTTAATGACGCTAATTTTTTTAGGTTTCCTTCTTTTCAAGCAACGCTGATGATACTGTCCCCACCGCCGCCGAACTTCCCAGCAGAAATCGCCTGAAAAGCCGATGATGACGACGACGGCGATGAGTGGTCACTACTCGCCGGTGACTGATCCTGTGACCGCGGCGTCGGCGATGGCAGATTCAACGACAACGGTAAAGGCTCTATGAGATTAGTCGGAGAAGCTTTCTCTTTCAAGTTCAAACTAGCCATCTTCGACGACGGTGGGACCGGCAAAATCGGCGTCGGCCTAATCGGCTTGGCTAGCCTCTCACTGCTCGCCGGTAAAACCACTGGAGATAGACTCATCGGAAAACCTGCGCCAGGGAAACCGCCGTAATGCGACGGCGGATATGCTGCGGGGATAGTCAGCGCCGCCGTTTCCTGCTGAACTTGTTCTTCTTCCATTATAGTAGAAGACTCCATCACCTGGAATTCCAAAATAAAAATCAATTAAACGTTAAAATTACTAATTACTCTCAAATTATTTAAGAATATTTAAATGAATCTCTAGTTTGTTTTAATCAATTAATTATTTCATTTTGGAGTTAGTTTATAACTGTTTTGAAATTGTGAATCCAGTTATTTAATTTAAAATAAATTAGAAATAAAATCTAATGACATTTAGATGGATGCCAACAGAAATTAACATCAATTTATTGTGCAAAAGAAGAAAAGGAAACTGAAAGTACCGTATCGGTAGTGATGTCAAAGAGGCTAGATCTCCGGCGGCGGCGGTTCTGGTTGTGGCGACGGAGGAAGTACTTCTGAGCGTGACTGGCGACCTGAGTTGGCGTGCGAGTTTTGACGAAGTTTCTAGAAATTCCTCTCCAATCTCCCTTTCCAACTTTGTGCAACCCTAACAGGAACAGTCTGTGCTCTTCCTCCGTCCAAGGAACACCTTTGTTCACCAATCCAAAAACTCAATCGATCAATTAATTTGTCTCTCAAACCAAACAACGCCAAAGAACATATCAGAACAATTAAAGAAATCGTTAATGATTGTTAATCGGTTAATTACTGACCTCGCTTGCGCTCGCGCGCGCGACCGGAGGCGTGAACGACGTCGTCGGAGGCGTACCCGGCGTCGGCTGTGTTGGAATCGGCGTCATATTGAGAGAGGTTGTTCATGCTAGCGCTCTTCCTGAAGGAGGAAATTCCTTCGGTGACTCGCACGCCAAACAGCATGAAGCCGCTCTCCCGGGGAGACGAGCCCCCGGAAACAGCAGCACCACCGTCGGTGCATGTCCTTGAGTTGTGGCCGTTGTTCCCGCACTGTGAGCACGTGCGAGACATCTCAACAGTCCATGCAATAAATATGGCTATATGAATATGATATGTGTGTGGAAGATTAATAGATGTGATAATATAAGGTGAAGAAATAAAAGGTTTGAAAGAAGAAAGGGTGTTGTTGGGTTTGTGTTTGTGATGGAGAGAAAGAAAGAGACATAGGGATGTTTGGGTGATATATAGAGAGTTTTGCTTTGGTAGGGTTGAAGTGTTGAAAGTGTGGTGATGGCATTGGTGTTTGTGGTAGGCGCTGCCGTACACTAAAGTTACTACTAGGGTTACTAGAATTACTTACTAATACTATGCGGTGGGAAACGAAAGAGGGGTTGTTTGGCACTAGAAATTATTATGAACGTCGATTGGTGTCGTCATGGTATTGGTGGTCATTTTTCGTTGAGGAGACAGAATCCATCAATCAGGACCGTCAAATACTGTGCCATGTTTGGCTTGCCTCGGTAAGCACGACCCAAAACGTGTGTCCTACGATCGTTTAGCATTTAATATATGTCCCATAATATTTATGGACACGCTGCAAATATGGAAAAGAAATTATCCATAAATACTCCTTTCAACACCCAGACAAAAAATAAAATAAAACACGTAATGAATTAAGTGATGCAATAAAAAAAATTAAGTTATCAAAAAATTAAAAATATTACATTAATTATTTTTAGTATTAGTGTGGTCAACAAAAAGAATATATATTTATTATATACACTTAGAGTGAAAGAGTTAAAAAACATACAAAATAAAATTATTGATGGTTAAAGTACCACTAACACGTACAAGCTAGTAGGACGGAAGCTAAATTTTATCCATTTTTATTTTTTTATATATTCTCTAACTTGCTTTACAACAATTTTACGCGTTTCGTCTTCATCAAATCTCTGCTATAAAGGAGTCATTTCATAGGTATACTATTCTTTCTATAGTATTAACGGTCAAATAGATGGTTTATTGTGTGCAGTTTAAAAAAATTAGTAATAAAAACGTGATGTATATATAATATTAACACTCTTTATTTTTCCACACTGTATATTATCCTTACAATTTCTTTTGATATTTGTAATATTTCTTCATATAAAATACAATGTTTTTATAAATAATTGAAGAATATAAAGTGTAAGAGGTGTGTCATTGTAAAAATTTTCAAAAACATTTAAATGAGTTCCGATAACAAAAACGAAAACATTAGTAGATAATATTTTTTTTAAAAAAAGCTTTAAATAACTGTTCCAAAACATTTATTAACATAACCTATTAATAAAACGCTATTCTAATAATGATGAATTGAAATTATTTTAGAATATCAACGTATAATGTCAATGTTTAATCTTTGAATGTACGAGATATAATAGACGGATGTTTAGAAAATATTTTTGTGGGTTTCAAACTAGATTTACAAATAATTAGAAAGACCAAATATATTAAAAATTTTGAAAAATATATTTATATATTATTTTATACACGTCAAAACTATATTCCTTGATCCATAAATTGTTGCATATTCAAAGTTGAATTTCACCAGGGTTAATAACCCAGTTGATGTTGAATTATTGCTTATACTTGGGAAGCACTTTTACAATTTACATTTAAGTTTAGGGACTATAGGTATTCCCATAATGGAGAAAGGAGATGAACAATTACGACACAAAAGAAAATCAAAAGACTGTACAAAGAGAAAAAAGAAGATGAACAACATAAACAAAAAGTTGCACATGAATACGTTGGATTGTATTTAAAAGGAATACGATGAAAAATCTATAGATACGTGTCATCAAAAGCATATAAACGACAATAATTTTACTTATATTTATTGTTAAAAGTAGCACACGACAATGACTTTGAGAAATTCATTATAAAATATTTTTTTACTTATTTTAAAAAATGTTACTGTGTTATTTTTGACTAGGATTTCTTAATAACTATTCAAATGTAGTCTTATTTTTTAGGATATGAGTGTATCTAATTTGTATTAAATAAATAGTATTACATTCAAATTTTGTTTGCGAAAAAAAAAATTGAGTGAGCACTCCTTTAACTAAGACCTAGAAAGGAAAAGAAAATAATTATAATAAATAATATAATGGACTGAGAGATAAAAAAAAAATAGTGAATTGAACATTGAAGTGGTGTATAATTTATGAAGTCACCCAACAATCACTTCAAAATGCATGTTTTCAAGAAAGACTTTTCTAACAAGTGGACTTCTTAGATTTGTTTTCTAATGCTTTAATAATCTCGTATTATTTGTTATCAGAAATAATTTAAATGTACATTCCTTCCTTAATCATTTGAAATATTTTTTAAGAATAAAAAAAACTAAGACAAAATTTCAAACTCTAACGTAAACAATATCTTAAATCTTAAATGTAATAATTGTTTGATATCTTAATAAATGGAATGAGTTTTAAGAATTTACTCGAATCACAGTAAACCTCATGATAGTTTTTTTTAATATAAAAATATTTATAGATTATCTAATAAGTTTTCATATTTAGAGTAAAAAAAAATGAAGTTGTTATTTGTGGACATTTATTTTCTTAGTGAGAACCATAAACTATGAGACATGTGGAAGTGATGTTAGGCAATGATTGACCTCATCAAAACCATGGGTAGGGCTACAAACACCTCACAATGGTGAAAGACTAAACTCACAACATTAAGAAATTTAAATATATATTAGAAACTGAGAGTTTAAGTTTAATTTATCTCCTTTCGTATACTTAATAGATATTTTGTGTGGATATGATAGAAAGTAACATAATAAATTTAATAAATCTCATTAGTATTGTCATGAAAACATACAAGAAAATGAGTTTAAGGTGTAATTAGTTTTTATATATGTAAATTATGAGGTAAATATTATTCTGGCTTGTGTATTATGAATTATATTCTTCGTTTTAAAATTGGAAGAATATATGTAATCCATGAAGTGATTGTTGACTTTGAAAGTTGGCATAGTGATATAGAAGAAAAGAAAAACAGTGTTGGTTTTGTTATGATATAGAATAGCAATATTTTGTTTTAAGCGAAGGAAGTAGAGGCAGGGTAACTTTTGTAAAAGCAAGGAGTTGAATAATATTTGGTGAGCAATGGAAGCAAACAAGAGAGACTTTAGAAAAAAAGAAAAAAAGAAGAAAGAAAAGGAGGGGATGGTGGAGAATGAGGATGTTTTTGGACCGTGAAATGGGCATATTCGTTGTTGCTTTGATAAAGATTTGGTTGTCTCGTACGTTTTAAATATCAGGATTTTGGCTTTGGTTTAATCATGAAAAGTTGTGGGTGTGGTCTTATGCTTGCATTTGCATATAGGATAAGCAAACATGGACCCCACACATCTTTCTATTCACCTCACCCTTTCTGTGTGGCTCTGCTCCCACCTTTTTTTAATTCACACCTTTCCACTTTTCAACTTGCCTTTGGCGTTGAAACTTTAGTGCTACTATCATTCTGTGTTTCACCACAATAAGTCAAATAAATCCTTCTCTCATACTAACACCTCCTTCTTAAATCAATCATTCAACCCCCTTAACACTCTAATCACTGTTTTATTAAAGTCCCACCCATTTCCGTTTAATTACTATTTTAAACGTTAATCACAAGTTTTATTCATAATTCACTTTACTTTTTCTCTTAATTAGCTTTTAATACTTTAACACGGAATGCATTACACTCGTTCAAGAAATCTTTACTTGCTTCTCGCTTTAGTTATGTGAGAACCCATCTTACCAACCAAAAATAAATATAAAAACTCTGTAACTAACCACTCCACCATCAAATTAACAAGTACGATTCAATTTTGCATCTTAAAAATTTAATTTAATTCAAATTTACATTTTTCATGAAATCAAGTTTTTATTAAAAATATTTCTTTTATTACATATACAATTTTTTTATATTTTCTAATCGGGTAACTGTTATTTGATTTTACTATCAATCAAACTTACACAGTCATTACCTTACATATAACAGAAAATATAATTAAATTTTAAATTTATCATAAATTTGGTATTGATAATTAAATTTTCTTTTCTTTTATTGTCTAAATTTTTGGGGTCATGTTTGATACAACAAAACCATACAGTCATGTCACTCTGATTGATTAAAATACTCGATTAAAGAAAATGTAAAGATTTTTAATAATTAATGAAAAAATATTAATTCAAAATATGTTTATTTATGAATGACTTAAAATTTTATTATATATCACTTTTTTTTTATTTTCTTACAAAAATTCGTAAGCAATGACAATTCTAAATAACAAAAGTTACCTCAACTTAGTTGATAATAAAATCAAACAATATGCATTTACTTAAAGATGTAAGAACTTTAAATACTTATTAAAATATAATTTTTTTAATTAAAAAAATTAAATTTATAATAAAGTAAAGCCTTAAATATTATGAAGATTTTTCTCATTTGATTATCTTTCTATTCAATTTATCATTTATATACAATGATAATCTTTTTCAGGTATGATTTTAAATCAAAAGTATAATTCCAAAAAGAAAAAGTGGTTCTCCACAATTATTGCAGAAGTTCTGTTAGGTTAAATTTTTTTTAAGCGTAAGTAGCCATGAATAAATATGTGCAAAATATTCTGGCCACGTAATACGTTAACTGAAATGCGTGTGGACATGAGTTTTAATATTGCTTTCAGTTTCTCCTTCTGAATAAAATTTTGAAAACTATATATTATAATAATATATCTGATTATATGATTAAATTGTCAATAACTATATCATAGAGCACATCCATCCAATGTCCTACGTGACCATATATAACTTTCGTTACAATTAATGTGTGCATATTTTGCATCACAAATAGGTTTGAAAGGTATGAAAATTAATAATGTGTGAATTTCATAGGAAGAGTCATGGTGGACAATACTATGTTGTAGCTTAGTCTTTCTTTCCTCGTCTTCAAATAGATCTTTAAACGACAAAATTTATTTTACAATAAATCAAAATTTTATTTATCATCAGAATAACTAATAAAAAAATATTTAAAATTATTTAGAAATAACATATGATCAACAATACCAACTTGTTAAAGATATGTTTGGGTCAAATAAATTAGTGAAAAAAATAAAAAAAAAAATAAAAGAAACGTTAATTTTTGGTTTATCTTATTTGTTGTAATAAAATTAGAATCAAATAACATAAATATCTTTTTATTATTACATGAAATCATCTTCTTCTGGATTTTAC